GTGGTGGTGGTGGTGATAACTAATGATGACGATGATGATAAGCAAGCATTAGCTGCTAAACCCGATACAACTATAATCCTAGAGATGCCGGATAGCCCCCTGCTTTGACTGCCACCACCCCTAGGTGGCATTACCTCCCTCCTCCCTCACGCTCCCGGGGGCGGACACCCCCCCTTGGCTTCACTCGCTCGTGGTTCGTCTTCTTCCCCCCCTTTGGTAAACACAGTGCCTCCCAGCCCGACCTCCCCTCCGCCCGGCCGGCCTCACCTGCAGCCAGATGTTCTCCGGATATGCCCGGAGGAAGGCCAGCGCCACCTCCACCGCGGCGGGGGGCACGGCCGCCTGCATCGCCTCGTGCCCCTCAGCGCCCAGCTGCAGCACCTGGAGGATGACTGCGAGGAAAGGGGGGAAAGGGGGGGACGGGAGGAACCGGGAGAGAAGCAGTGTTGAGGGATATCCACCTACTGCGGCAAATGCGGCAACTGGTGAACAAGCAGTAGCAGCAGCAGCAGTAGCAGCAGTAGCAGTAGCTGTAGCTGTAGCAGTAGTCAACAGCAGCAGTAGCTGCCAGTAGTCTCTCAATGTCACGGCCAAGACAGTCCCTGTCGCCATTGCGACTCCGTAGCAAGCCTCGTACGGAGAAACGGCTACACCCATACACCCCTGACCTCGCTGCGCAAATGTACGGCAGTGCTCCATGAAGGCCACGATGTTGAACAGGTTGGGGGAGTTGAGCACATCCAGCAGCGTCAAAATCTGTGTGTGGGGGGTGTTTGGGGTGCTTTGGGTGTGGAGGGTATGAGAGGGTGTACGTCAGGAGCGGGGGATTACCTGATGTACACCATGGCTTGGGGGGGTTTAGGGCCTTACGAGCTGTTGGGCAGGGACGTGTCTGGAAAGACACGGTGTGTTTTCCAGCATGCCTCCTCCCTCACTCGCGGGGGGGGGGCTAGTGGGCATAGTGTGGTACATATCCTGCTTGGAGACCACCTCGCGGCCACCCTCCCCCTCCCCTCTCCCTCCCCTCTCCCTCCCCCTCCCGTGGGGACGGTTGCACTCAAGCCGTCACTCTATAAGGCCCCTGGCATATTGGCAGCCACACACACAGACACACATACCGCACTGCAGTGTCGTACACACCTGCCGTATGTCCATCAGCGGCACCTGCCGCATCAACCCGGTCATGTTGTTGCCCCACAGCTCCGGACGCTGCAGCGCCAAACACAGCAGCCTGTACGACGAAGCGACCTCGCTGTCCTGACCGGGAACCGTCACTGGGCTGGCGGCGGCGGCCGCCGCAACAGCCGCCGCAGCAGCAGCCGGCGACGCCGGGTCCCAAACGCGGGCGGCAACGTCCTCCTCGACGTCGACGTCGACGTCGGCGCCGCCACCACCGGCAGCGGCGGCGGAGGTACCGCCGCCCTCTTCCCCGCCGCCCTCCTCTGCCCCGCCCAATCTGGCCGTGCAGCTCAAGCACTTCGCCGGCCGACCCGTAGGGCCCCCCAACATGCGCTGACGCAGCATTGCAGCTGCCTCCTGTGTACGACAACACGGAGGTACGGCACGAGATCGGACGTAAAACCCCTTTCCGGCGGTATCCCCCCGGGGCTGCCCGCTGCTCTCTCCTGATTAAGGCCCTGCGCCCCCAACCCCACCGCACACCACCACGCAGAAATGTTGCCGCGTGGAGAGAGGCGCCCGGGTCACATAGGGTGCCGGGGTGGGGGGAGACCGAGGGCGGATAGGGAAAGAGGAAGGTCCATGGGTCGAAACCCACCGCCCTGTTTTTTCCCCAATTTTAGACTCCTTTCCTTTTTGGTGCGCGACACAGCTACCGCTACCCTCCTCGCTCATCCACACGCCCTTCCGCGCCTCCCCCCCCCCTTTGATATGATGTTGGCACATGAACCCCCCACCCCCTTCCCACCCCCTCCCCACCCTCCTACCTGTTGTTCCGGCCCCATCAACGGCGCCAGGTACTCCACCAAGGCCAAGTTCACGTGGGCCAGGGCCAGCTCGAAGGCGGTCAGGCCCGCGCAGCGGAGCCACAGCAGCCCCGGGTCAGCGGACAGCAACAGGGCGCAGGCTGGGGACCAGGGGAGAGGGGGGGAGAGGGGGGTAGAGGGGGACGAATGTGGAAAACAAGCCGGCGGCTGGTGTGCCAGTGTGCGGGTGGGGGGAGGGACGGGAGTGTGCCGTATGTATAGCTAGCAGAGGTTAGGCCCCCCAGGCAACTGAGCGGCCGCTCCTCAGCGGGGGTTGTAACCACCCGCGATAATCCACGGCTCCCGCCCGCCCCGGCCCCAGCCCTAGGCCTCCCGGAATGAACCCACGGGCCCGCCCCGGCCCCCACCTTGTACGGATGCCTCGCTGCTGGACTGGAAGCGGCCGATGAGAGCGTACGAGTGCAGGAAGGTTAGGTCCAGGGGGGCTACTCCCGCCCTGATGCGCGGGTCCATACCGCCCTCCAGCAGCACACTCAGCAGCTCGGGCTTCTCGAGGAAGCGCTGCATGGGCAGCAACCCGTCTGGACAGTGCGAGGGCGTTGTGTGTGAAGGGGGGGGAGAGGAGGGGGGAGGAGGAAGGGCAGCCAAGGGAGAGGGCGGGTGGGGAGAGGGGGAGTGAGGGCGGAAGAGCGGAACACCTTGCGTGTGTGTCATGTGTGTGTATGCGTCAAGTGTGTGTGAAAACCCATGCCACGGCACTGCGATGTTGGTCATCATGCCGTGAATACATCACCTACCTAGCTACCGACATACATCCACTCACCCGTACACTCCCCCACCCACTCACCCGTACACATGGGCACATTGGGGTTTAGCCCGCACTCCAAGAAAGCTCGTAATACCAACACCTCTTCGCCGGGGCCAACGCCGCGAAGCGCACCAGCTGCATCCCAGTCGCCCGAGGGCGCCGCGGCAGCACCCGCAGTTGCGGAGGCGACGGAGGCGGCGGAGGCGGAAGCCGCGGCCGCACGCGCCGCCACTCGCGCTCGGGCGCCCTGCCGGCTCCGCTCCCTCTTCCGCGCCGCCAGCAAACTGCCTTCCCGATGCGTCATCACAGCCGAGGCGGGCCGTACAGCAGATCCGCCGCCGCCGGGAGCTGTGTGCAAGCCGGACGCACCAGCGCCGGCGGCGGCAGCTGACCCGTACGACAACTCGTTCCTGGAGCTGCCGGAGCTGCCGCCGCTGTGTTTCTTCCGGGAAGGCAAATGAGGTCCGCGCTTCTGAGGATCAAGCCCCGATTTTCCGTACTGCTGCTGCTGCTGTTGTTGTTGTTCTTGCTGTGTCGTACACGATCCCCAACCAGAGGCGCCCAGCTCCTCCTCGACAATGCCGCCATCCGCAAAGCCCTCCAGAAAGTGGCTCCCCGTCGCGGCCGCCGAAAGCGGCGCCGCCGCCGGCCCCGGCGGCGGCGCCGCCCCCATCGCCTGTGCCGCCGCCGCGGCACGCGCGTCCTTCAGTTGGTGTGCCGCCGCCACCACTCCCACTACCAGCTCCGCATACCCAGGAGTGCCGGGCACGTACGGCGGTCGCCGCTGCAGCAGCGGCAGCCACAGCTGCAGCGCGGCGGGCTCCAAGGCGAGACAGAAGCACAGGTGCTGGAACAGCTGCGGGTCAGAGGGTGGCGGCAGGGGCTCGTGCTGGAGGAGCCAGTCCAGCAGGGGGCCTGCGGCGGGGGCGACGAGGGGAGAAAGACGAACCACGGACACGTGAGGCAGGGGCCCGGGGGGGCACGTTACGGAGCAGAGACAAGGGGGGGTGAGCGAAAGGGGCCGGGCGAAGGCAGGGGGTGACCGGTAACTGGGGGGGAATTGGTCTGCAGACGGGTCGATGAAAATACGATGCAACGAATAGTAGTTAATAGTAATAGGAGTCGGACGTCATAATAGTATATGACAGTGCTGCTATGTTAAATAGGACGACGAAGGGAAGGTCAACACCCCCGCCCGCACCTGCCGCCTCCCTCGCCTCCGCCTCCCCAACCGCGAGCTGGTGCAGCAGCGCAGTGGCCGCGGTGGCCCTCTCCCCCAGTGCCTCACAGCTAGCTCCGTACAGTGAAAACCCATGACGGTTGAGTAGCTGTGCGCGGCGAACGTGTTGCGGCGGTGTGGCGGTGGTTGTGGCGGTGGTTGTGGCGGTGGCGGCACAACGAGGGCAGGTTGGGGGTTTCAGCGTGTTATTACAGTTGGAAGGGGGGTCCCGGGGCTCCAGGGGGGCCGATATGAAGCACGACGCAAGACAGGGTCCCTTGTTAGGCGGCGGGGAGACCAGAGGGGCCAAAGTGGGTAACTCGTGAGGAGGTTCTAGAAACCGGGGGAGGACGTCAGCAGTGGAAACTTGTGGGTGGGACTTGTGGATGTGGATGTGTATGTGGGTGTGATGGGGGACCAGTAGGAGGGCACGGGCAATGATAGCGTACAGCGGTGCAACGAACCAACAGAGGTGATGATGCCGCAGCGGCGGGGGCGGGAGCGGGGGCGGGGGCGGGGACGAAGGTGGGGTCTGGAAAGCGACCGGTTCTCTACGGGCCGGGGCCCCCGTGCTGCGTGCGCGGAACTGAAGGAATTGCGAACGGCACTTGACGCCCGAGACTCCCGTGCCCCTGCCCTCCCCCCTCTTAAACACACCGTGCCCAAGCACACGAGAACCCCCCCCCGCGTATTCCCCCCCTCCCACTCCCGTCAGTCCACATCAGCACCTTGGCCAGCACCAGCTTCTCCGTCGCGGAAAGGCCGTCGTTGTGTACGGCAGCCACTAAAGCCGTCAGGCCGTACTGGTTGTGTACATTGGGGTCAGCCCCCGCCTTGAGCAGCACCTCCACCACCCCCGCGCTGCTGACGGCGCAAGCCAGCAGGATCAGTGGCCAGTGACCGAAGGAAGAGGCAGGAGCGGGCGCGGACGCTGCGTTGGCGCTGCTGGGGATCGAACCCCCGACCGCTGCTGCGCCACCGTCATCGGCAGCCGGTGTTGCAGCGGGATTGGCGGCGGTCGCGGCGGCAGCCGGAGGTGTCGTGTATCCCCACGGCTTGTCCAGCTGCGGGGCATGTAGAACCTGCAGGGGAAGGAAGTCGACAGGAGTCAACATTAACAGCAACGCAGGATCCGGGAGCGCCGCCGGGTTTAGCACCATCCAAAACGTCCGGGTGTGTGGTACTGGGGGGGTGTAAATCGGCGCCGTGGATGGGGGATTACGTGGGGTAACTCAGTAGCGGAAGATCTGTGGACCCCAGGCCGTGCAGCAGCCGGAAAACGAGGTCATTGGGCGATTTGGGTCAGGTGGCCTGCATCGTAAGGGATAGGAGGCGACGAGGATGGAGGAGGAGGAGGTTTGACGGGTCAGGCGCAGGGGCTGTGCAGGCAGGCGCTGAGTGGGCTAGCTAAACCCGTTGCAGGGGCATATAGGTAAGGGTGTGCGGCCGGGCGTTTGCCGTATTTCCTTGCCAGGGGCCAAGAGGCAACGCCGGGCCGCAAGACGGGAGAGGGGGACTCGTTGGCGCACCTGGTTGACGTCCACTCCAGACTTGAGCCAGCGCTTGACCGCAGATGCGTTTCCACGCCTGAAAAGTCGCCAGATTCAGGAAGCATGCTTTTTTGTAAACAATGTGACGAGGTGGCTGGTGGCCAGGCGGTGGCAGCTGGGATGCAAAGGACAACAGCGCGGTGGATGTGCGTATCGAATGGTCGTTGGAGTGATGCGGTAAGCTCCCAGCCAGTAATCCGACGTATTAGAGTTCTTTCACAGTGCATGAGGATTTTCCTTGTGAGATTAGGCATGCTTTGGGGCTTTGGATAGATCACGACTAACCGGAGTAGCGCCATCAGCTCCTCAGAAACAATCCGGGGGCTGCTCGCTAGAGACCCCGACCCATCAGATATCCATGGCTTTGATTGAGCCTTAGTGCCCGCTCTGGCAGCCTTGGCACCGGCCATTATCACACCGAACTACTACGCAGCGTGTTGCGCCGAGACGATGCTTCTCGCTGCAATCTGCTCAGTAAGCTAAAATAGCGCCCGATGCCGCTTAAGAGACAACCCGTTGAAGGATAACCACAGATCGGGAAGCGCAGCTAAAGTGAACAGTATGTTGATTGTCGGCTCTTCTCCGACACGCAACGGCAAAGGCCACCGCTTTGGATCGCTCAGGGACAACAGATAAGAAATCACTGAATGTACAGTTGATTCCCTAGCAAATAGCTTGTCCCGGCGACCTTCGCAAGCAGAAACGTTTGCCCAACTCGCCCACAGTGACCCAAACGAATAGGTGCCACTGCGAATTGATTAACGTAATGAAAAAGATAGATCGGCAATGTGCGTAAAGGGTAATGACCGTAATGTACTAATGCGTGATGTACACGTGCACGTAACTGAAAATGATTTACCTCGTTGTGCAATAATACACAGTTCTACATTGTGTCATGCGCAAACCCCTTTTTGCACCATAATCAATAATGTGATGCTGATAACATGTCGCAGGTTACGATATGTAAGATTTATTCCGTGTTGATGTGGTTCCATCGCGCGGTTGCGTCCCTTTCGCATGGAAAGGCCCATGATGAAATACAGAATCTACGCCCTGGCTTATTGCCATTACATTTAATTGCATCCTTGGATGTGTGTTGGAGGCGATAATCTATTGCAGAGACTGAGTACTGGCGTTGCTTTTGGTTGGCTGGAACCCCGGGGTGGAGCCAAGGGCGGGAAGCAAGCCACATGCCCTTCCAAAGCACAGCATATTCTGTGTTTTTGCACTGAGCAATAGGCTTATTTTTATGGCCCAAAATATCCACCATGTGTGAAACCGCGTAGTACCCTACGAAGATATAAGCGCCACTGCACTCACGCTGGCTAAAGGGAAACCGAGAACTGCTGAACTCTCTCCTCTAGCTGGCTCATGGAGCGTAAAATTTGCCACCGGCAAAACAACGCACGGACGTGCCGTACGAACCAGCAGGTCAGGGCAGGACAGCGATCAAATACGTCGGGTCTTAGGGGATGCAGCTTGAGGCAACATCAGAACATTGCCAAAATTAACAGCACAGTAACAATTTGCGTATCAAAGTTAGCTACTGAAGACGAGGACACAGCTTCCGAAGAATTAAGGGCCAACTCCACCAGGCCACCGGATCAGCGGGCCAACCAGTGATCATGAGTCAGAATTGGCACGGCCAAGAATTGGATCTTCGTGTGCCGAGCCTTCTCTGGGGATGAGCAATTCGCTGGCCCTGGTCGTCACACCAATTCATGCGCTGTTGCCGAAGCTCCCTTGCCACCTAGGTGCGATTGGCTTTTTGCAGCAGCTTTGCTTTCCCTTCCCATTCCCGCCCGTCTCCCGGCTATTATTTTTCTACTGCCGCTTTCCTGCTACAATTTTCATCTTTTGGATATCCTTTTACTAGATCAGCAAAATTAGACCCCATATGAAAGAGTTTTTTGTGCGCGGGTAGAACCGGCTTCCTCGCCCCTCGTGTAGACGGTTAAGCCCTTCTGGACGTCACCGTGGCGCTCCCGAATGGAGGCCCCACGTCCGTACTGGAAGCCAGCCTCGTGCACGGAAGCTACTTGGCGGCATTGATACTTTGGTAGTCTCGCAAGGCCGCTCAGTAGCGCGTGTATGTGCTTTGATGCGCGCCTTCCTGTCCCCTACTTCTGGAGTACTGGAGCAAGGGGGTGGTCAACCCCCAGGAGGACGGGGTAGAGCCCGGAGAGAAAGAGGGACGGATGAGATAGCTGCTGCGATTAGCGAAGAGCCAGCTGGAGTGGTGGCACTGGTAATGTTGAAGTACCTTACCTGCTCCGTGTCATGCCCGATTCACCCTCAACAACGCGTTGTTAGTGTTCAATCTCTGAGTGAGTGCGTGCGTGCGTGCGTGCGTGAGTGAGTGGGTTCGTTCGCGAGTGAGATTTTGTCAAGAGCCGTATTGCGATTGATGAACGCCTTCCAATGCCCTGCAGTAGCCCCAACCCATGATAAGAAACTGGATGCTAAACTTCTACCACCGTTGCTACCACTGCTGCAGCGGATTTGATGCCAAGAATTAAGAGTTTTGGTGGCCGACCTCCAGAATTCGGGGTCCGTTCGAATCCGTCATTTCCCCCAGACGTTTACTTCTTTTTTTACGCGACATGGCGCCGTTGCACTAACCAACAGCAGTTGCCCTGTACCGGTACCGGTACCAGGCCTTGCTGTCCCGGCAACCCTGAGAATCCCTTTTCCACCTTGGCCCTCCTTAAACATGTACAACAAGACCACCATGGAAATTGCCTTCGTCGTCCAGGATCGCTTGTCAGGCGATGCACCAGCCGAAGCACAGGAACCAGGGGACGAGGTCGTTCCCAGCAAGTTCCCACGAGGGGACGGTGTTCCGTCAGCTTCCCACACCACAACTAAACAACTAAACGTAACGACAAATGCTGGAAAAAAGCTTTGCGAAGTACAGGTTGCGTGTACTATGCACACAGCCAAACGCACAAAAGATACTGCCGTACACTGCCGTATTGAGGCGCCATTGCAGGCGGATGTTTGGCCTACCAGTGCGCAGGGCCTCCTCCCTAGGACAGCGGATTACACAACAGTGCACAAACGTTCAATGGACGAGCATGGAAGCTCTCCCGTATCTTGCACAAAAGGCACACGGGCTTTATCCGCTCGCACAATGCACCGTCCATTCACATACACACACACAGAGGTTGCGCCAGGCAGGGGCAGTGGGAGGTTTTTATTGAGAGGTCGCAGCTATAGGTCTTGGGAGGAGTCGCAGGCGAAGGGGGTGGCTGCAGAGCAGACTGGGTAACGCTGTGTGAGTTTTGCCGGTGTGGTGCTGCCTCGAGGCATCCCTAGCCCCGTCGGTGAGCTGGTCGGTAGCAGCTGAGGAGGTGGCACATCACGTTGACCCAACCTCAAGTCTCTCAAGGCGGCCACATACGACATCCCGTATCCAAAAAGTGATTCATCGCTACGCACATTCATTTTTTTATCACATAATGTACACCGGCTTCATAACGGGGGGAGAGGAGCAACGAATATTGAATTTCGAGCAGTGGTTAAGGCAGGTTACGCCTCGACAGTCATTATTTCGCCCAACGGAATGGAAGTAAACTACGCCGCTCCCCCTGACCGTAGTAGTCCGGACGGAAACCTATACTTGGCACCACGTCGCACCCGTCTGGGCATGGGTCGCTTGGGTTTCAAAGCCTTGAGGAGGGACGGCCGCCCAAGCTCCCTTCACATCTCGGAGTACGATACGATGACAGCTTTCCTATCGATTGCATAAGTTTCACTATATAATCGCCTTGCGACACCAGCACCTCTTGTCGCACACTTTGATCGACGGCATTCGCCCCAGCCTTCTCAAGATCCTTCAAAGCAGCTGGCAACTGGATGTCCTTGGCCATGCAGACGCAGCCCTAGGCGGCGACATGAGCACATGACACACCTCTGAACCCCCGTACCTCCACCCACCACAAACCACACGTAATCATACACACTGGGCCTCGCCCTCGGTTACAATCAATGGCCTTGCAATCCTCCCTCGGTTTTTCATGACAGTTTTTCCCCCGCCGCGCCCGTGGAGGAAAGACCCCTCCCCGTACCCCACGCAAAGGCAACTGGAATGCACCCCGGTGCGACGGAGCGCAAGGAGCTACTGGCAGCGACGGGCCAACGGGGCCGCTGGGCTCAGGCAGTGCTGCGGCGAACCTTGCCGCTCCCGCACAGACCGCCCAAATCTCTCTTCGGACTCGAACGACAAAGCAAATTCCGGCGAGTGCTGCGGCAATGGCATTTTGGCCCAGCTTACGCAATGACGCGGCCGTTCTGGGGCCCCTCCACGGCCATCTCATGCAGCCCATTCCACACACAAACAGTTCGCAGTCGAGGCCGCGCCTGTGCTGCACCGAAGGACATCAAACCAGTACTCCACCGGTACCCGCCTGCCCGCCTGCAAACACTCGCACACATCGCTCAAAGACACACATGCACAAATGTCCCGCATACACATACTTTTCATGTTGTTGCATTTGGGATCTTGCATAAGGATCGACGAGCAAGAGTGCACACCCCGCCCTTCTGCCGTTGTACAGCAAATGCGGGAAACAATACACGTTGGGATCCGGGACCCGGAAAGCCTTCCCCGCCATTCCTGGCGTTTATCGCCTGCACCTGCACCTGCCAAGCCAGGCCCCACACAGGCCACTCACATGGCGTAGCGAGGGCTGAAGCACACATGCTTCCCTCGCTCCCGTATCCTCGCTCGATCACGGTATATGCATCCAGTCACTGTGCGATGCTCTTGCTGTACACCCTCCCACAAAAGGAGGCAAAGCAGCGGGAACTGGATATCACTTGCGGAGAACCTGAAGGGATGGTGAAGACGCAAATGCCCTGTGGCAAGCGCAACACGCCACATACCTGCACGATGTCCAGTGAAACATGCGGAAACTGGATGGCAGTAACGCGATCCCCATCGTGCCTCAGACTGTGTGCTCTCCCGCCCGCCTGACGATCCAACCAATTCCGCATTTCTTCACACATGGGGCACAATCAATGTCACCTCATGCAAATGCCGCAATGCGCACCGCCGTTGCATCTCTACAAAGCCGGCGTTCGCGCCAGCCGGCGTTCGCGCATCCACATGTACGAGCGAGCCCGCTGCAGTACTGCGGTTGGATCTCCTAACATTGATGTCCTTCGAGCATCCGAAACAAAGTTAAGAACACAGTACATCGCCGTTAAGAATGCGAGAAGGTATACCTTCTGCACATGCAGAATGGAGGCATGCGCCCACGTCTTATCGGCTAACAGAACGTGCGCATTTCATGGGAGCCCGTCATGGGGCCATCATCTACCAGGCATCACCGTCTCAGGCTGCTGTCGAGGCCGCGCCAGCGGCGACAGAGCCGACTCGTGTTTCTTTGCCCGCGTGCACGGCTCCTTGCTGTGGTGGCTGCTGGTGGTGTTGGTGTTGTGATGGCTGCTGGGGCGCGTGTTGCGAGCGGCGCGGAGGCGCGGGCCCCACGGGGACAGGGGGACCGTGCTCTCGGAGCCTCCGAACCTGCGGGGGGGGGCAGATGAAACCAGAGCGAGAAAAGGTTAAACTATATATTAAGAGAAGCTGACATCGGCCAATGCACCACTCGGCTGGTGTCCTTAATCATCGTTTTGCAGGACATAATCCTGGCAGCGCTGACAGCTCTCGGGAATCGTGGTCCGGCGATTGGGCCACCCACCCTGTTGAATCCGTCGTCGGTTATGCTGGGCTACAAGCAGGTCGAAGCTGGTGACCGAGAGAATGGGTGCCTGTGGTACTGCATCATTCCGGCCCGCCGCTTTACATTGCTCAGGCCATTGTGTTGATCATCATATCCAGTGTGATCATCAGCCACGCCGGACAGCAAAAGTTCAATTGGTTCCCAGCCCCTCCCCTGCCGCTGCACATTCGCCTGTCTATCTTCTCACGACTCTGCTATGTGCTCTGCCAGGCGCACTGCCTGGCCAACAAGCCAGAGTATGTAATTCACTCGTTCTCGTCCCTTGCTCAAATCCTGTGCAGTGCATACCAGGTATGGCCACCTCAACCGCGTGCCGAACACCGTGGACAGCCACGGCGTGCTGACGCCACAAAACCCGATCCAGGTACCCCCCCCAAACGCTTGCAACACACCAGCACCATCATCCCCGTACCTGCAACCGGACCTCTCCCAATCGGCATTGCTGCGCTCCTCCCTTTGTCCCCTCGCCCCAAACACCCCGCATACGGCCGTATCCAGTCATCCGCAGTCAACCCCCCACCTGGCCGTCCTTGAGCACCTCCAGCACCTCCACGGGAAAGTCTCCGCAGCCGTGCGACATGCCCACATCTATCCGAATCACCCGCGACTCACAGGCGCTGTTGATGCCGCGAGTCTGGATGGTGTGACCCACCACCATGCGCCGGGCGCCGGGTATGGACTGCAGTCACGCGGGGCCCGGAAGACGGGAGCGAGCTGACACAGAGGAGAAATATTGAGAGTGTGATAGGACTGGAAACTGCATTCCCGCAAGGAATCGCAAGGCGCCAAAAGGTCCTCGAGGAACAGAAATCGGGGAGGTATCCATGGAGGCGTGTCAGAGATGTCAGAGAGGACGAGATCGCCCTAACTCGAGACTGGGCGTTGCGTTCGTCCAGCTGGAGCAATCAAAAGCCATATCCCGCTTCCTAAACGCGCTCCGCCCGCCTCCTCCTCCCCGCCCGCAACGCCGCACCTCCAACACGTTCTGCAGCGTCTCGCAGTCGCAGCGCTTTTCATCGGATGCGGAGAAGGCCCGCGCCCACACGATGGCAGAGCCGCCGAGCAGGAACGCAGGCGGCCGAGCGGGCGCGCCAGGGCCTCCCAGCAGCCATGACTGCGTCTCCCTGCATGCAGCCCAGCCAGTCGTCGAAGCGCAGAGTTACTGTCATTAACGGCCCCAGGAAGAAGGCAGCGTCCCCTTCGGGCTGCCCGGGTTCGGCCTGTAGCCGTGGCGGTTAAATACACACGGACGCCGCAGGATGCAGGATGCAGGACAGGACCAGTGCCTTGTGACAGCGCCCGTACGTAAGCGTGACGGTAATGATGTCTTTCCTGTGGAAAGGAGGTGCGCATGCCTGTGCCCTGCGGTGTGGCAGAATGTCCGAAGTTGCTCCATCTGACCCACACCTGTTAATGCGCTCCAGCCCATACTCGACGTGCGCAGGCAGCACGCCGCCATGCACGAACAAGTTATCGCCGACCTGCGGGAGCAGCAGACCAGTGGGGTGGCGACCCACCGACCCCTCGATGCCGCGATGGATGCCCCTTCTTGCCGAGACCATACATGGCGAAGCGTGTGCGCGTTGTGCCCTACATTCAAATGCAAAGCAGCAACAACACCCCAATCCACGCAAGGGGTCCTAAACCCTGCATGAAACTCCCAAGACATGCAGACTGCCCATGCCTGACAGTGGGGCCCCAACCCCCTCCCCCCCAAGCGTACGAACCTGACCCAAAAACCTGGCATAGGACGGGGCACCTAAACTGACCCCAGCTGCGCCGTGGCGCAACCCTTCCCCAGCACACCTGCAGCACCGTCGGTCGTGCTGCAAAGAAGCGCCGTGAAATCTCGCTACCCGGCCGCAGCGCTCTGCTGCGCAACCAGTTGTAGGGCCGCAACCGGGCCATCTGAGCAGCAGCCGGGGAGGACGACGCGTGCGCCGCGGCATTTCGGCGATCCTGCGTCCGTCCAGCGGGTGTGACGAAAAAGAACACAGAGGCAGCCAGCTTGAGGAAAGCGCGCAACATAGGCCAACACGCTACCCAGGTCCTACGGCGCTGCATCACACCTTGGTCTTAGCACTGGGAGCCCGCTGCCTCAACACCACCAGGTGCAACTCGCAGCGATGTACCACTGGATAGCATACCACCGCACCGCATATGCACCCCGCACCGCCCGGTTGCCCGTGTCAGCCCATGTGCAACGCGCTCCTGCGTGTGCCGCAGGATCATGCAGCCATGCAGCGCAGAAGCGGTCCAGCGGTCGAGAATGCATAGTTCAGCTGCAAGGGCCCTGCTTGCCATGTTGCATTAGCCCTGCCACCGTTTTGATAACACCCGTCCTCAGTCGTATGTGGTTCGCCAGTCTTCCCAACGCCAGCCCTATCCCCACCCTATCCGCGGCGCCACTGCGGTCGGCGCCGGAGCAGGCTTGCCAACCCTGTAAACCCAAATCGTAAGGGTCATCGCAAACCGCTCGCACACCACACGAACCACATCGCACCTGCAGAGGGTCCAACTGCCCATCCGGCGCCGGGCAGCCGCTGCGTCGCTTCATGAGCGTGCAGAAGTCCCGCCATGTGGAGAGTCCCAACACCTCCAGATTGGCGCCTGACGACCAGGAGGGCATCAGGGCACCCACATGGTAAGCGGGGACCACAGCGGACTGGGCGGCACACCGGGTTGGCCGCGGAGAGACCAAGTCCTCCTTGCAGCAGTGCAGGGGAGCTGCTGCCGTGCCAGCCGCGGCCCAACATGCCAGCTGTCTCCAGCCCGCGTTCCTATCCGTGCTTCAGTCGCTCCATTTAACGGCCGGGTACCTAACAGCCAGCGGCACTGCAAGCCCCTCGATAAGACCCCGGAATGCATTTGTCCAGTTCCTCCCTGGCGATACAACCGCACCCTTGACCCCCTGTCCAGCTTTCACAGTTCCCACGTTCCCGGGGGACAAAATGACGACATAATCGACAGCTTTACCAACGCCATCATGCTGCTAGCCAACGGGCTCAACGTCCCTTCAAACAGGGCTACAAGCTCCAACAGGAGCTCTGCCGCAGATCCAACGTTCGCCAACCCGTTTCCCGCAGCTCTTGGCCCCCGGCCCCCTTGAGACATCCCCCTTGAAGCAGCGCTCCCTTCGCAACCGGGGCACTCGTCGGAACCGTGCACTCAGGTAGACAGCCTCGCCCAGGGGCCTGCGGCGGCGCGGCTCCGTATCTCACCCGGCGTGGCGTAACGGTGGTCTCCCATCACATTCATGGTTTCGTGGTTGCCGTTAAGCAGGTACAGCCGCCCTCCCGCAGCCTCTGCCTCTCGTGCCAGGCGCTCCAGCATGATGAGGGTGCGGATCTCATGATCACCGCGGTCAAGGATGTCGCCCACCTGGGCGCGGGAAGGGGGGGAGGCGCCGGCTTCCGGGTTGAAAAAGCAGGGAGTAACATGGAGGGTTGGCCAGGGGTTGGGAACGAAGAAAAACACATGAGGAAATAGTCACACGGAGGGGTAAGCGAGCTGGGCGTGTCTTCCGAACGCGATGATAGGGGGTGTGACCACCACGCGAGGTAATAGGAGCCAAGGAAGTGTCGGGTGGAAGCGAGGGAGAGCGTCAAAATAGAGATGGGCTCAAGAGACAGGTAGTATTAGGATGAAAAGAAACATTGATGATAGCCGGGAACAGTAAGGCGGCGATAGGGTGAAGGACTTATGGGCATTGCTGCTGGCAGCGGGTACTCCATGACAGAGTGAGAATTATGAGCGTGCTGGGGACACGTGCAGCGTGCAAATAAGGTATGAAGTCAAGAGCATTAAGTTAGTGGATCACCCTTGCCGTATATGTGGGGAGGCCGGCGGGTTTGTGCAAAGGAAAGGTGCCGGTGATTTGGATCACCGCAGTCCAACCCATGGCTGCAGTCGGTATCGCGCTCGTTTGCAGCACAGTTCGTCGAAGTGACACGAGGGAGGGTCCAAGCTGGACGCCCTTAATGCACGTGAACGCCTACGGTTCTAACCTGGACGGCCACCGTACTACCGCCGCTCCATCGGCCGTGCTCATCTGTCAAGCCCGCCAGCCGAAATGCGCGTACTGCCTTATGATAATCACCATGTATATCGCCAATCGCTACGAGCCGGTCGGCTGCGGGGACGGCCGTAGGGAGCGGTTCCGAGCGGCTAACGTACGCATCATCGCCAGGCACCGTGTCTTCGCGCTTGTTATACGTCGCCCACATCTGCAACCGATGTCGTCATCGATTTTATTCACCTCTCCAGAGCTAAATACACATGACATCGTGCATGGCCCGCCGTCAAAGCCGGCACGACAACACCAGCACGACTACAGAAAGTACCTGGGCGAACGACTTCACACAAACATCACATGCTGCTTCGGCTTTTGTTGACGAGTTAAATAGAAAATCTAATATTCCCATTTCGTCGGTGTCCGCTACGGTTAGGCACCACTGTAGCAGTCCTAAAGGCTTTCGCGATTTGCCCAGGGCGCAAGGTTTGGAACAATACACAAGGACGATGGACTATTAGGGGAGGAGTACGCATGCTTAACTGCTTTGGATTTTTTGATTCCGAGTTTCGAACCAACACCGTACGCGTTACAACTGCATATGCCAGTGAATAATCCCGCTTTTTCTAATTTATTCATTGTTATGTATGGTACTTATTGAACCAGTTTGATTGCATCAATTATGACGAGCAACTCAAATCACATCTGCTCTTTTGTTTGGCAAGCAAGCCGGTCGTAAATGCGTGACCAAAATAATATTATACATCTGTTACATACTTACGGAATGAGTCGCTTTCTTCGAGCTACGACACTTCTAAGACTTTGACGTTCGCTGACTTGAGGCTCCAATGGCTAGCCTAGAACGGAAGGACGCCTTGTTAGAGGTATTCCGCCTCATCGATGTGGGGAATGACGGGTGAGCTGCAGCTTCATGGAGCTACGGCTCACTGACAGTCCCTTTATGCCAGGGCTTGGAACGGCTGATTCAATTCGCACCCCATCCAAATGGGTGTCATGCCTGCAGATTCCTGGATTTCGATGAAGTTAAGGCGCTGGCCTCCGATTCCACGACCCAAGTACGGCAGCCGGGGTTGTCCTTGAGGGGTTCACTGGCAGGAACGATGTTGAACGTTACGTAGTCCCATCTGGGTGGTGGTTACACGGTATGGCCTTTAGGGTCCAGGACGCTAAAAGACCTCAACCTCCTTACCATGTGGCAGGGAAAGATAGAGGAAGCGGTGACGACAATCTTGATGCTGGACCTGAATGGCGACGCGAAGGTTTCGGCAGAAGAGTTCGTAGAGGTAAGTGAGCCAGGGAACCCGCGGCAGGACGGCTCAACGAGCACCCGTGGCGACGGTGCACAGGCCTTGGAGAGCAGAGCGCGGGCTGGAGCCACATATCGCCGTACGATACACGGCACGGTGTAGCCACGCACTGTGAGGCTCAGCCGACCAGAACTTTGCGATTCAATCAGGAATTCTTGTCCGATAACCTTAGGGGAAAAGTTTCAGCATCTGGATGGAATGCAACCGGTCCATGCCCAGGCCAGCGGATTCGGTAACCTTCCGCAGATTTTTCCCCCTTTTCCCGGCTTCTCGGCTTCCATTTCGTATGGAACCCCCCGTGCTTCCCTGCCAAATCGATATCTACCTGCGGGCTCCATGGGCTTGCGTCCACCAATGTGGGTCGCTGGGCCCCTCCCTAATGCTGCCACTCATTGCAATGAAGCATTCGTCGATCAGCAGGAATGCGAGGTGTGAGTGTTCTTGATCATATATATATGTTGGACCCATGGGTCGAATTATGTATTATGTATGTGGAAGCGGCATAATGCGGCACCGATAATAGATGTAGTTCATCAGGTTTAGAAGTCGCTTACGCAATAAAGCCTGGGGGCTTGAGCTTCAGTCCAATTGGGCATGGCCAGAACTTGGGCTAAACTTGGCCTTTCCGCCGCTGTACAATAGTAGCGCTTCAGCCTTTCCACGACGCTCCTGATAACTAGTTTGGGCGAGTGCTTGTCATGTGCCATATACCAGATCCGTAAAAAGAATTGTTAGGAAGATGTGCAACGACCGATGCGGACCCCAGAACAGGCAGCGAAAGACAGGAAAGTAGACGGGGTCTGGCAATTTGTACGGCCTCTGGCACTTAACTTGGGGAGGTTGTGATTCTGCAGCGGAAACCCATTGAACGCCTGTCATGAAGGCAAGCGGCAACCGCGCCTCGCACTTGGGACCAGCCACGGAAAACAGAGATTTGTATCTGGGGTTTACTTTACAGAGGGCTGGTGGTGACGACTTAACAGGATTATGCAAAAAGTTATAGACAGCAGCATTTCAGAAGTGCTGTTTCCGCAATTTAGCATATTCAGGGCGACCCTAGGGCCTCTCCGTGAACTTGCGCCCAACCGCGAGCAGCGCAGGGCAGCATGTTGATACATCAGCCAAGGCCCTGCTGCCCTAATGACGCAAACAGTGGACGCACTGCGTCGTGCAGGTTGGTTTCAGCTGTGAGCGGCGTTCCTTGTGTTGACTCGGGCACAGTTACACCCAAAGCTGCATACCCGCTAGGAAAATGGAAATGAGGACAGGAAAAAGTCCTACGCATTCTGTTAACGAAGGTAGCTGACGTATTCGATGCGCTTGCGCCGATGGTTTGGCGGTATAACTCCTTAACTCCTATCTCCGCGTCGCCAGACGTGACAATTTCCACTGCCTGCCGATTCAAACAGCGCCCCAGCAAAAGGGCAATCCTAGCTGAAATGCTACTGTATATGGCCCATCATTATCCGCGTCGTGGCTTGTCAGGCGCCTGTGTGCCACACGATAGTGCCGCGCCTTTCATCCTTGATGACGACGCCATAGGTGTTCCTGTTCGTGACATCGGGCATGGATGAGCAGGAGTTCGAGCTGTTCGTGGACGACATGAAGGTGCATGCAGGTACGGTGTGCGGAAGGTAGAGAGTCTCGCAGCTGACCCTCGGGCGAGAGTCGCACCTGCGCTAGCCCGGCGGGAGGTTTGCGATACCCGCTGTTGTCTGCGCGCGGTGGGGACGCAGTTGCCATTTGCGAAGATGGCATCATGTAAATCATGGCTGTGCATAAAGTTGTGAGCAGAAGAATCATGCGTTGTGTTGCGCGCACGTGCGCTCATATAACTCAATGAATACTCCAGGAGTTGACGAAGGAGACGAGGAGACACCTGGAAGGGCGTTACATGTGCGGGATGCGGGTGTCGAAAAAGGTCCAACTGGTCACTTGAGGGGGTGTGCAACAAAACTTGGGAGGGTCTTGCCGCGAGCTGTGAAGGAACTTAAGGAACAACGTCCCGCGCAGCAGCTTGCACATGAAATTCGAGCTCGGAGTGAAGCAGTACACCGATCTTAGTTACAACGTTGAGAGGGTTAGGCGGTTCACAGAACGTTCTCGCTGTCATCAGGCGCCAACGTGGCTACCCGCCTACCCGCGTGGTAAAAGCAAATATCACCTGACTGACGGCTACCTACGTGTATCTTTGCTTTTGCTCATGCAACACGAAGCACCGGCCGTAAGGCGATTGGGGTCCAAGGCTCTTTCCGTCCAGGGAAAACCCGCCTCAGGTTTGATGCCCCACAAAATATGCCGGCGGTAAGGCACCTGGGTAAACCCCACGTCACTCCATGTCATCAGGGAAACCCTCAGCCGCGCTATGGGGGCCCCCACTCAAACCTCCTTCCGCGCGGTGCTCTCTACCGCCGTCGTCCGCCGCGCCCCAGATACCAACCATGCCAGCGCCACAATTGCCGCTGCCCCGCTTATCCTTTACATGAAGAAGAACTACGCATTGCGCAAGCTGATGCACGTTCTTCCATTCTCTCCGTGTCTCCGTATGCCCTCTTGGATGCTCCTTGCCGCACCCGGATTGACGCGTGCTCCTCCACCATCCTCACCCCGCTGGCGAGCAGGCGGCGGCACGTCCCGGGAGATGATGCTGAAGCGCGTGTTCAGTGCGTTGGATCGCGATCACTCTGGGTGGGTTGAGCGGGGGAGATAGGGCCCACATCGTCATCCGGTGGGAGGGAGCGCCCTGGAGGGCCGCGGGTGACGGTGTAGGTGGTGGAGGTGCGGTAGCCGGGTAACGGCATCCGGCAAACCGGTCGGGGCTGCACGGCATCAGATTTGGCCTTAATGAGCATCAATCTCCTTTATGTATGAAGCGAAATGGGTCGCTGGGGTGTTTTGTAGTTAATCAGGGGGGAAAAACGGAGAATGGGAGGAAGCGTTGCAGCAAGGTGCCGGTGGGGACGGGGAATTCCAGCAGGACAAGTGGTCTTGCGAGGTGACCCACATCGTCGATGTAGAACTGACGCCTCGTAGAGGGGTTGGCGCGCCGCACACGCTCAGCACTTGAGCTCAGCTGTGAACATGGGGGAATGCCAGGCAGCCTTCCTGCTGTTGCAGTAGCTGCCGTACAGTACAGCATGGAAGTTGTCTATAGATCCGTGCAAAGGCCCTCTGCCAGCATCTTGCGAGGCCTTCTTTTTCCAGCGGCCAGCCACTACAGCCATGTGCTTTACGACCTAATTTCGGCTTCTTCTTCTCGCCGTTATTCCCCCCTACCACGCAATGTATTGGAGCGTGACATCGCCCACTTATGTTTCGCCGTGTACTGCTGGTGTATGTGGCAGGTTCATCGAGATGCATGAGCTGAAGACGCTGGTTGGTTGCGTGGGCCCGGAGGTGAGTTGAGTCTCAACACATGTGGCCTGGAAAGGGAAGGGGATGGAAGAAGGGGGGAAGGGTGTTGCAAGAGGGGAGGGGAGGGGGCGTTGCCTTGCTCCAATGGGCCGCACGAGGGAACTTGGAACTAGATGGGCGCTACCGCTGATTGCTGCCACGTTTACCGCCGAGCCTGGGTATCCCAATTAGGCAATCTTTTCATGACGCGACGGCTGATGCTCGGGCGTCCTCACCTCCGCTGTTGGCCATAGCTGCACGACACTTTGCCGCTCCGGAACAGCACCACCCGGGTCGGCTGCCAACGGCTCACTCCATCCCCCACCGCTATGCCAAAAAACCTTGCGGCTGCACGATTGATGGCTAAGTTTTGGGACTCTTACCACCGCGACTACCGAGCCCAGCAGCCCGATACGGCTATATCGTCTGGCAGTGCTGGTGGAAACTTAAAACTGGTTAAGTCCGTTTCGCCTGCGTCCCTTCCTCGCCGATCCTCTCATCCCAGGATGCCCTTGAGCGCGCCCGCGGCACACTGCGCATGTTCGACACCGATGCAGACGAGAAGGTGTCCGTGGAGGAGTTCCTCACCTTTTTCGATTCGCTGGTGCACGACATGAGCGACACGGATTTCAGGGTGGGCAGGGGAACACGGTGGAGAGGGGAACACCCTTGACGAGCCCTTGCCGGGAGGGGCCAGCCGCGGTCCCGGAGCCTTGAATAGATAACCGCTAGGCTTGGGAGCTAGCAGTCAAAGCATTGGCTGCAGCCCGGGTGCAGCCCGGCCGAAAAGCCGGGGCCGTGTCTTGCTTTTCGATTAGCATGCAGGCATATCAGGTTCGGCGGGGACTGCAGTACGGAAACCGTAAAGGCTGGTATCCAGAACCCGGTGTCCATGTCCATGATGGAAACGTTAACCTATTGGCAGCCAGTTAATATCGGCCACATGATGGAGTTCCACACGCCTTCGACCGCGATAATGTGCCCCGCATGGTTACACACGTATACGCGCCCGGGGGCAAAGGGAACCCATATGCCGCATCACCTTTCCCTGCCGCAGCTCTTTTAGGCGGCACATGTCACCGCGCTGACAGAGCAGGTTACCTCCTGCTTACCCCTGTTAGAGTGTGGGCACACTGTGTGGTGTTGAGTGTGGCTGGTGGCCGCATCATGCTGATACGGCGCGGCATTGCGCTGCCCCTCAGGCTTTTGTGAGCCACTTGACTGAGAAGGGATTCGAGCTGCTGTACGAGGGGAACTACCGGCACCCGCACGGTGAGAAAGGGACAGAGGGTGCAGTTTCGTGCCAGAAAACATTGGATCATGCTCTCAATGTGTATGTATGTATGTATGTATGTATGTATATATGTATGTATGTCGGCATGCGCACAGCCTAAATCACCGCCAACTCGTTTTGAAACGAGGCAGTCCGCCGTTCTACTGTACCCTTCAAAACATGCGACCACTGCTGCCGCTGCTGCTGCGCCCCTCGCCCCCGGCCCTGGCCCGTCAACAGGGTGCCGTACATGGCTGGAGGAAGAAGTGATGCCGACTCTGAAACAGGGGATGCTGGAGCTGCTGAAGGAGGTCGAGAAGGATGTCATGGATGTGAGTGGTGGCGATGAGATGGGTGGATACGGGAAGTTACATGCACACAGGACTCGAACAAGGCCCAACGCGAACGAACGGTGGACGGACTAGTATTGCGAACCACTGCCTAGAGGCGCTCTGGGCTGGTCCGCTGCGTGTAAAAAGCTCAGGTGCATTGGTGAATACTGAAACGGAAGCGGGAAGCTGATTTTTCGGCATGTTGCGCACAGTCTGAGATATAGCCCTCTTGCCGCCTCTCCTCCTCAGCATCTCCTCAACATCTCCTTAACATCTGTAATTAAATAAATGCTTCGACCCATATTTTTATTCCGCCGGGCGGCCACACAACCGCCTGGCAAGAATTCAGCACATACTATGCGCTTGCATTAGTAGCACGGTGAAGTGATGGAAGTGCGTCCGCCCGTCCACTCCTGTGCAGCTCGCAACGGGCATTCCCTGGGAAGAGGGTGAGCACATGCCGCGCGGTTGGCGGCCCTTCTCTCCGCTGCACTGGCTGTCGAACTGGCTTCTGAACGCCGCCACGGGCGGCCGGCCGCGAACCACAGAGCAAGGGGAAGACGGCGATGACGGCGAGGGGCCGGGGCTGGTGCCGGTTAAGAACCTGGAGGCCATGTCCCGCGAGGAAAAGGTTGTTTACCTGTTCAACCAGATTGACGTCAACGGCAGCGGGTGAGTGAGGGAGCGCGGCCCGTTGCGCCGCCACCACCCGCCCGCCTGCAGCTGTTCAAAATCCGAAACCACCTTGTTTCAATCCCAAAGCACACCCAACCATACCGCACACGCAACCATTCCACCGAACCCACTCGTCGCATCGTCGCCGCCGAACAGCCCATAAGATACCACCTCCATGGACACCTCCATTCCAACATCAACGCAGCCACTCCGGGCCCCAATCCCTCCACGGCCTTGTCCCTACTGGACGCAGTACCATTCCTACAAGCCATCTGGTGTCCATGGCTGAGCTAATATTTGCGGATGGTGCCGGGGGTATTCGCGATGCACGCAACACCGTCATCGCCCCTGTGCTGGCCGGCATGGGGTTGCACCCTTTAGATGGAGTGGTGGATCTACAGGAGTTTCAGACGGCAATGGCACAGATGGTGGGTGCAATGGACATACCTACAAGACGGCGATGTGTGTGTATTCATCCGCCCGGAGTTTGAGGAGGGGTTTGAGACGTACAGGACAGCATGATTAGAGGGGCGGGTCTCCGGCTAGCAGTCTTGCGCAGGTCGTGTGCGGCCGCAAAATCTGCACGCTGGCGGTCCCGACTCGCATCCTCTCCCTTCTCCTAACTCGCGCCCGTTGTTGCCTGTTGCCGTCCCCAGACGTCTATGCTGAGTGACAGCGAGTTCGACGAGGCGGCCCGAATAGTGGCAGCGCAGCGCGACTGGCGGTACTGCCGCACCCGGGCGGACAAGTTCAGGTGGGTGCATCGCAGCATCAGATTCCGGTTCCGGTTAGATTACAGGCGGTCAGGGCCGGCGCTCACGGCATTCTCGCCTCCTCGGAAGTGGGACCGCGCGCCTGAGCCGGGCGCTCAGGCCAACTCGTGGGTTGAGTTGTTGGGTGGCAACGGTTCTGGGTGCAAGGGAGTTTGCGTATGCGCACACACCTGATGTCGGACCGCAATCCTGCGCACTGACGACATATCTGCTGCTGCTGCTACTGCTGCCGTGGGTGTAGATACCTGTTCCACTCTTTGGACCTTGACCACTCGGGATCCTTAAACTTTCAGGAGCTCAAGGTGAGGCGTGCGGTGGCGGTACGCGGTGGGAGATCTGGTTTGTCGAGGACGTGGGGATGGGGACTTGTGCGTGCAAGGTTTTGAGCTTTTTGGCCAGGCCGCCTGTAGGAGAGGAGGATCCTTTTGATTTGGGATTTGGGATTTGGGAACGTCCTCATTAGAAAGAAAAGGTGCGCGGACGTGACACAGCTGCGCCATCGCGCGGTAATGAGAATTTTCCCGCCGTAGGGAGGACGTCTAGACTTGAGCTGCCTGGATACGCGTTCGGTTCGTTTCGAACCTGCGCCGAGTTGTCCAAGCGTTCTGTCCGTGCTACGATAATTCTCTTGGAACATCCGCAGGGCAACAAAAGTGAATCTGTTGTCATTATCCGCATGTGCGCCGTTTCGCTGCCCTGGTCGTATGGTCGACATTTTCCACATCTCCTCATCCCATCCCGCAGCTGTTGGCCCAGCGGATGGATCCGGATACCAGTGAGGAGACGGTGTCGGCCACCTTGGAGTATATGGATCGAGACAACAGCGATTCGGTGAGGCCCATTGATCCGGAAGACTAGGTCCCTGGGCTTGGGGCAGAGATGTGTGTGAAGAGCTTTGGCGGAGGCCGGCCCTACCGCTGCAAGCTGTGTGGCCTGTGTTGAAGTTACGGCTCCAGACGGCTCCAATGTAGCCTCGCCTTGCGCTGCTAATCAGTAAAACCGTACCCCAGCCAGCAATGGCACGTGGGGTTTGTGCGCCCTAGAGCAGGGCTGCTAGAGATTCTTCCGCTTGCTCGTACACGGGATAGGGTGGTGGCCTGTGACAGCCCTCCCTGCCGCGTCTGCCCTCCTCCCGCCTTGGCTGTGCCTACTGCAATGGCAGGTGTCCGTTGAGGAGTTTGTGGAGGCTCTGGGTGTATTGCTAGGTCATGTAGATAGTGAGACAGAGCTGGACGACATGGTGCAGCGAATGTTGCACATGCGTGGAGGGGTGGACCCCGCAAACGAGGG